CCCCCCCCCCCCCCCCCCCCCCCCCCCCTCCCCTTCCAGCCAACACCGATTGGTCGGCTGACGGAGAACCAGAAGTCCTCGCAGATCCACAGATGGTAGCCTATACTGAGAGCTGTGGTGGGATCATGGAGAGCCAAACAAACAGTAGTGGATTGCGGTACTCGTGAACTCTTTCTCTCCTCTCGGTCTCTCTCTTTCTCTGACTTCAGAGCATACAGCTTTATTTTACAGTTGCTTAGCAACAGACTGGCATGTGTGTGTGTGTGTGTGTGTGTGTGTGTGTATGTGTGTGTGTGTGTGTGTATGCGTGTGTGTGTGTGTGTTTCGGAGCATGAGGAGAGATGTGGGAGAGAGAAAGGAGTTCAAGTCCTCGACTCTCTCTGTCTCTCTCGCTCTCTCTTTCAGAAGTGTGGATGGATGTTGAATATTTCAGCTCTCAGCAGCAGCCCGTCTCTGTTATGGAGGCTGATGTTGCTTCAGAGCAGCCTGATGGTTCAATGCGGCACTGAGAGTTAGTTAGCAGGGGAAGCTTTGGAGTGAAGGAGGTGATTGAGAGAAAAGTTAGTATTAGTGTTATTTGAGATAAAATGGAAAAGACTCTCATTTTAGTCTTTAATTATGGTGCATAACATCTTTTGGCACAGGTCTGAGAGATTGAATACTCCTTTGAGTCCACAGTTTAAATTCATATTCAGACCAAAATCAATATTGTTTGACCCAATAACTAAATTCACATTTGAAATCTCAAGTGAATCTCCATGGTTTCAGTTCTATAGTTTCATCTCGGATGGATGCCAGAAGTTACCCTCAAGTATCAAATAAAGACAACTGGGGACATATACTCGTCGTTACTGCAGCGATGAAGTTGCCACTACCTTCTGTATAACAGTAAAGTCAAGCTTGTAAACACTGCTGTCAGCTATAGGAGCAGCATTTTAACAGACTTGAGTAAAGGAGAGATGTGAAAATGTACAAGACAGTTACGTTTTGAAGGTGCAAATTGATGGTTGAATGTTTTATTCACAGTTAAAGACTTTCTCAGATATATTCTGAGATATATTCAGATATATTGTGTGAAGTCTATATATAGTGTGCAACCCAAAACAGATTATTAATGTTGTGTGTTGGGTTCTGAATGAGGCCGTACAACATTTAAAATTGAACTAATTGTATTTGACTGGTGTAGAAACAGACCCACATTTTATCTGCCTATTATTGTTATATACCACTTCAGTTTGTTTTGAGTTGACAGTGTCACATTTACATGTTGCAATGACGATGAGCTGATCGTGTCATACTTTTGGGAGACGCAAGTTTGCCTTCTAGATCGTGACACATTTAAAAAGAGTCTGCAGTTAGATGTGAGAAAATCCTCTCAAAGGAACTGACCTACTAGTCCTTGTAGAGTCCTGTACTAAAAAGATGTACAGCCAAGACTTTCCATTACACAGTCCTGTTATTGAACGCGACATACTACATGGTATGGAGTACACGGTGACAGGTGAGTTTTATCACGCAGGTTTTTCGTCTTTATACGAGTTGTGAGAGTGAACATGCTCACTGAGGTCAGGGCATTTTTCTCTGTTGATGCTTTAGATGCAGACGTCCTCTGCACAGCTGCAGTCAGCCTCTCAGAGTGTTCACTCGAGGGTGAGAAAACATCAGGCAGTCTGAGAAGAAAAAAAGAAAGACATGTTGTGAATTTTCAAATGGGTAGAAGAAAACATATGGGTAGTGTTAATGTGGCTGGAGTGGAAAGTGTAGAAAAGGAGAGCTTGCTTCAGACAGAAAATCCAGTTTCACTGTTGAAACACATTGGTGTACAGTATAACATGACATTGTAGAATAGGCAGGGGTAATGGGTGGTATGTTTCGAATAACTCATCACACCCCTGCAACAGGCATGGCGACAGTTACCATTACCAACACCCATACAAGCCAGTAACTGCGTAGTTAAGTAGCAAACATGTTAACAACCTGTGTGAGAGGACCCTTCTATTCATTTAGAATAATACAATTGTTGGATTTGTGTGGTTATTTTTCCCCCACAGTATTTCAGTCATTAAAAAACATTTTCAATAGATTTGTTTTTAATCTCGATAAACACCAGCTCTGATACCAGATGGAGATGGAATTGATCTGCGCAGACTGTAACATGGTGTTTCGCTCCACTGAGCTGCTTGAGAAAGACAAAGCACTGTTCTGCATTGGGAACGAGGTGGGACACCTTCTGGTGCGAAGAAGCAGCTCTGAACTTCTCATGAGAGACAAACCTGAATGTCGGGACCCCGAACAGACAAGAACCCCGGATCTCCCTGAGGTAAGGAAGTCATACTGATCTAGTGTGGGAGAGCAAGGTGTTAGCAGGTGGATAACGTGAAAGAAGGAATCCAAAGAGGCAAATTATGTGAACAGGAAGTGTTTTAACTTACCTAAAAGAAATTGCTACATACATTTCTCATGATTCATGCAGGAGAAGCACATGGAACTGTATTATATATTGGTTAAAGGATGGAGTCAGAAGCTTCCTGTAAAGTTGAGAATTGTTGATTAGAAAATGATGATAAGAAATTAGGAGAAAAAATGTAAATGAGTGCAATGATTATGCACTAGAGTTATAAACACCGTGAATTGTTATTTCAGACATATTTTTGCACATTCCTTATTGTTGCTGTATTAGATTTAAGGGCCATCTCTGTCATTGCGAATTTAAAAAACGGAAGTGGTGGCAAACGCTGCATGTGACTTCATGTGTGCAGCTGAGTGGTCAACGAAGGAACATCACCAGGTGGAGAAGAGCTGATGACAAACCAAAGTCAGCGAGAGCAGAGGACTTACCAACCAGTCAGACAGGAAGCGCTGTTCTGCAAGATCTCACACATGAGGTGAAACTGAACCGCTGCACGACAGCTATATCAAAGTCACTATTTTTTTACCTCAGATAATGACAACGTTTGAATATCATTAAGTCAGTCAAGATACACCGTAAGTGCAACTTCAAAAAGGGAAGGAAGTATGATATTACACTATATGGATATGGAAATATACACGTGTGCGTTAAAAACGAATACATATCAAGGATATTAGGAGTATATTTTAATGTGAAATACAAAAAAAGACTCTTACTTCTGACTTTCAGTTTCACAAGTTGAGGATGTCCATTGAAGAAAATCTGCAAAAGTGGTCAAAAAGGAGCACAGACACTGAGGTGGGGTTTATGTTTCTCGGTGGCGTTTGTCACTCTTTTCCCCTCTCTAAGCCCTTCATGTTGTGGGACCTGGCGAGCACTTCAAAGTATGTCAAGGCGTTAAATGTAAAGTATGCATTTTTCTATTCAAACGTTTCGTCCCAATTCCAACACAAAGCTGCAACGCTTTCCATAACCGTCACAAGTCTGTTAAATAGATTATGTGTCGATTTGACCATAAATATGATGACGTTATGGTCAGTTGTTGTATCTTTACTAGTTACCGTGGTGCTAATGCTGCAGCTAGGTGGATCACGCAAACAAGCAGTGGCTGCGCTCGGGTCCCCCCTACACTACTCTGGCTCAAAACGACGTCCAAGTCTTAAGATGGCAGCTCCCATATCCGGGATATTTTGGCTTCACTATTGGTCCAGAGCATAGGTGTATAAAGAGGGCCAAAGCCATATAAATACCTGTCCTACTACTACTATCTGGCTCTGCTCCATTGACTTCCACATGCTGCTTTTGATTCTTAATGATTGTAACAGTGAATACAGTCCTACCCGATTTTACAGGAGTAGTACTGTTTGTTATTTTCTGTGATCTCTTTATCTTTTTAACTTGTTTCCGCTGCTGATTTAGTTTTAAATCCTGGATATATCCTTCAAATACAAAATGTAGACCCTTCTGTCTGCTTCTCTCTGAAATAGCTTCTCTTTTATTTTTCATAAGTTAGATAATATTTATCCAGAGTTCAGTTAGTGACAGTGTGGGCTCCATGGTAGCATCGACAGCTTGAAGGAGTACCAGCGGGGCCTGGGGCCAAGCGAAAGGGTCGTCGTGCATCCAACAGCCTATTATGTGAAAACATGGTTTATGTCTCCATCCAGTGGATGAATCATCCAGCGTGAGCTGTCCCAATAATAGACCAACGGGTTATGGGTTTCTTTGAATGGGAACACGCATAGAGGTCTGATTGATTGATTTTTCAAAACAAAGCCAAACGCAGTTTTATTTAGATGGATTTTATTTGTGATTGTAAACACAATAAAATGAGTTTTACAGTTTCCGGAGAATATTTAAAATAGCACAGATGGTATCCAAATGACCAATTTGAAGATTCCGCCTTAACGTGCCTCTCCTAAAAACCTCACCAACTTTGCTCTGCGTCACTTAATTAGCAACAGTCTGTGCACAGGTAATGCTCAGATGTTGTGATATGGTTTGCAGGTTTTGGCTTCAACTGCATTATTCCAAAAGGGATATTCACTCTAAAGGTGTAGGTTTCTTTAGGCGAAAATTAAATCTTGCATTTTTGCTGTGTTCCATCTTCATTTAATCTGACCCAGTAACATGTATACTAATGCTTACACCTCTGCAGAAATCTCACACATTTGACCTTTATGATGCCATATACTGTAGATTTAGTAGTTGCAGATATATATACTCGATTTATGTTGGGAACGTCATTATTGAGCAGGGCCCCGAGCCAGAGGCCTATGGTTCATGAGATGTTAAATAATGGATTAAGTCATCAGCCAGTGGTGTCAGAATAAGTCACAGGTCACTTGATAAAGACAAAAAGAAACAAGTCATTTGGCTCCAGGTTGTAACGTATTTGAGAACCAATTCTATGCATGACTCTATTCATTTTTAAACATGGTCTTTAGACGAGTGGGCGTCAGTTGGGTTCCAGTGAGAGACTGGAAGAGATGAGGGAAATGTCGACGCTCCACGAGCACCAACTGGCCCTGATACATGCTCACAACCAGGAGCTGGAGCAGCAGAGAGACAGTGAGGGACAAATACAATACATCTCTTGAGACCTTGTAATCCGACTATCCTCTTCAGCCTTTGTGCAAAATGTCATCCTCTCAGATTTACACTCAATGTTGATGTCAGAGATTGCTCTAATACAGTGTGAATGTATGTGTGTGTGTGTGTGTGTGTGTGTGTGTGTGTGTGTGTCTGTGTGTGTGTGTGCGTGTGTCTCCGAGCTGGCCCATCAGATGAGTGTCCTGTCTGAGCAGTGCTACACAACTCATCTGGGGAGTCTGCTGATGGAGCCCAGAGACCATGAGGAGAGAAACGAGGCGATACTGCAACAACTCTTCCAACGTCCCTGTGCATCAGTAAGTGTGTACTATATATGTGTGCTGATGTTAGTGTGTTACACGTCAGGCTTTTAGTTGTTCTTGTCAAAACATGACTGCTGAGAGTTCGGCACCAACTGTTGAATTGTGATAAAACCTGCAACATTTCAGTGTGTAACCACTAACTGTTCTGCCTGAGCAGCAATGGATACAACGAAGAGTTTATTTAACGTGTAATTGTTGGGGTAAATTATGTCGGATGGAGCATTAAAAAAAATAAATTACCGCTTCTGTGGTGCTCTGCCACTAAGATGAATATTTAGTGAAATACGTTTTTTGTCCTCTAGCTGCTGGATGACTCACAGCATCAATTATGTATTTTATTATGCCTGGTGGTTCCTCGTTGCAACATTTGTGGTATAATAATTTCCTATTGTAAAGTGGATTACGGATGGTAAACTTTCAATATATGCCACAATATTATAAAATGTAGATGATCTACTGCGTTTCTTTTCTTTTTTTATTGAGCAAGAGGTCTCTGTATATGCTAATCAGCCGGATCCACGCAACAGTAAAAAGATGCATCATGACAGCTACGAGCTCATTTCTTCTGCGGACGGCCCTCTCTCTACCCAGATAAAGTACGTACCTACATCATTAAAGAGCCATATCTATTTGAAAACAAAAAACACCATATTAGAAAGGAAAAACAAGATGGAGACTGCGTGTGATTACGAATTAGTTCTACTTAGCTGCCTGGTTATATGAGGATATATCTGGTCTCTTTGTTGCAGAGCCCCGTGGCAAGCATACATGCAGTCAGGTGGGTCGGATGCAGCCATTGTGGCACAAATGATTGACCTGCAGGCGGAAGCCCAAAGTCTGGAGAAAAACCAACCAGCTACATCCGGCGAGTCCAAAGAGAAGAGTGAGACTAAGAGTGAACAGCTTGCTAGTGTCAACACAGCTGTGCTCAGTGGAGCCTTTATTACATTTACTCACAGTAAAAAAACTGATTGCCTACACAAAGTCCATGATTATTAGATTCTGGTCAAACACTTCTTTTCACATGATCAGCTATAGTATGCAAAATGCAAAACATACACCCCGAATTGAAAGTAGATGATTTGAATTCTTGGTACACTCTCCAGACATACAACTGAGGATGAATTACATTTTGGCCCTGAGCCACATCACTGTTGTCCTCTTGTCCAGAGGGAAAGCCTCCTCGGTGGAGTCCGAGCAGGGAGCTGCTGGCTGTGGAGCAGGGGAATCAGAGACTCGAGGAGGAAATCCTCCGGATTCCAGCTGGTCAGGCAGCAACACCACACATGCAACGGTTAGAGAGTTCTCACAAATAAAAGTTTTTTTGTTTTTTTACTTTGAAAAGCAAACTACTGACTGATTAGCTCAAATTAAGTAGTACAGTCAAAACAAATTATATTCTACTCTACTCTATATCATGTTTTAATTTAAGTAAATTAAGAAATGAGAAGTGAAACACAGAATCTCCAACAGCTTTATAAAGCCTCTCAAATCCTTCCACCCTGTGTTAGGAATTGAACTCGTTTCTAATTACTATTAATTGTGTGATATGTTGCTCATACCACAAACTGTGTACCACAAACACAATCAGGGTGGTGGTCTCCTGAGCTTGAGCTGATTCAGAGGGAGATTGCCAGTTTACAGGCAGAGATGGAGAGAAGCAAAGAGTCTCCCAGGCACAGGAAACCGCCTCCTCCTCCACAACTCCAACCCCAGACTCACATCCATGCACCTCTTTCACTGGTAGATAATTTACAGTTGTAGTCACTCAGGTAATTTACATTTTTTTGTCTGTAACATTGATCCAGATACTGTACCTCTACATGTGTCCCTCAGCTCCAGGCGAGATCTCTCTCCTCTCCACCGGGAAGATACATGTTGGCCTCCTTGGACTCTCTGGGTCCCGCCCCCTACGACCCTGCGTCAGTTTAATTCACCACAGCTTATCGAATTTGAATCAATTTGCATAATCAAAACCTCTCAAATAGCCCATTGTGAGATCTAAGTACTAATAAAGTGACTGTTTATCATGTTAAATCATCTACTGCTCCGTCAACGTTTTAGTACCTTTCTTGAAATGAAATGGAGTCGCCTGGTGTTTCAGAGCTGGTTTCGTGGTTTTCTACGACCTGATGCTGGGAGTTGATGTCTATCAGAGGGCGCTGTGCATGGTGGCAGCTCTCTACTCAGGAGGTCAGGAGGTGGGACCGCCGACTCCCCTTCCACCTGTCGGGAGTGTCCCTGCCCAACGCCCACAGCATCACCCCTAGAAACTATGCCCTCCTGTCGGTCAAACAGCGTGTGCCCAGGTAGAAGAGATACCTAGAGAAGAAAAGCTGAGTTGACTATTATATAGAGCAGTGCGGTCACTTAAAACATCTGCGGACAAACTCTCAATCTGGGATTGGCAAATAAGCAAAAAAAACTGCAAAAGATCTCTGTTGTGTGTGTTATAATTTACCATATAAGCAACCAAACATGAGACAACTCTACCCGAACACTCATGCATGCCTCCTGTAAAGGGGTAGCTATGTGGCCTATAAACTCAACCCCATAAAGAAAATGAGCAAGTGAATGTTTTTGTCACAACTCTCAAGACAACCCTGGCTCATAGTATGAAATAAGTACACAGCTATTTCAAGGCGTATAAACGTTCAATTAACGTTTATTTTCCTAAGAATAATGAATCAGTCGGCCCTCATTAGCACAAACAACTCTAAAAGTGCTTGTGAACCATTTTCCCCTGCAGGATCCTGCCGTCACCCTCCCTCTCTCTAGTGCTGGAGGTTCAGGCAGCAAGACATCTGGATGTTCCCAGCCAGGAGATCTTCAGACTGGCATCCTGCGGCTGGACACGCATGGATCACTTTGACAAATACAACCAGGTAGAAAACTGAACAGCTGATACCGTAAAGAGAGTTCACACACAGTTTCGCCTCAATTAATATTGCTCCGTTTGTTAATCAAAAAACAGTGTATAAAGGCTGTGGGTCAAAATGGAAACATCACTGAACTTCCACTTAATTCAAGATCAAATGTTCAAACCACTGCACCTACAGGGATAATCAATACATTACTTGCACCATCTGGCACCGATATGTTTGCACAGTGTGCAATTATGTCCCATTGAACCATTACAAAGTACTCTGCTTATTGTAAAATTTTATTATTTTCTCTCCACAAACAGCACCGTAGTGGCCACTGGAGGGCGACAGTGCGCAATCTGCCAGTTAGATCCGCCTGGCCCAGCTCAACTCAGTACCCCAGGTAGAAAGACAGACGCCTGTTCGCAGTAGATGCTACATGAAAGGATTAAGTTAAGAACTTATCAGGTGTCCTATTTTAGGCTGATGTACTTTTTTTGGTAGAGGATGAAGCAAGGAAGTAAATTACACAACCGACCGTTTCTGTAAACTTAAGGTGGGCAACATGGAGCTGTGTGTACGTTTGGTCAACGGACAAGACGGAGATGTTCAGACTCTGGCAAAGCCTGACCTGACCAACCACCATTTAAAAAAAAAAAAAAAAAAAAAAAAAAAAAAAAAAAAAAAAAAAAAAACAGACTTTACTGTGGTGCCGTTTGTATACAGTTACAGGTGCCCACGCATCCCGTGAATGTCCATAGAAATGTAGCCGTTAGTTTCTGCTCCACAGCTCACACGAGTGGATGAATTCTCCATTTTGTCCTACACCGATCACCTAAACCCTCCACCCACAGAGAGCGGTCAGAGTTGACCAGGACAGGAATGCCATGCAGAAGACATCTCCACAATCAGGATGTAATGTATGCACTGTTGTGGCAGTTTGAATGAAGGCTCCTCAACCCGCATTTACTTTTTGTTGCAGTCAAAATATGCAACCGTCTACAATGGAAGCCTAGTTATGAAAGACACACGCGTAGCAGCACATTGATGGACAATAGCACAAGGATGACGTTAACAATGTCCACTCTTAAGTAGACATTTTGACAAGCACCTTAAGTTTGTTAGAATGACACATTTAGCTACAACTAATTAACATGACTTTATCTACAAATTGCTTGGTATTTAAACACTTAAAGATATTCAGAGGTGTGAATAAAAGGAGTCCTTTTTCAGTGTGGGAGCCCAACTATCAGTGCATGTGTCAATCCTTCTAAATTGGAAAAACTGATTGAAATGAAAAGAATTCAGTGATACAAACTTGCATTTGCAATTTTTATTTATCAATTTTTTTTTTTACTACAAGTATACAAAACTGGACAGACAAAAATCTATGAAAATGATCTTATTTACAAAAAGTAAAGTGTTGAAGGGCGGTTGGGCTGGATAGGCATGCTGTGCTGGTTTCGAAGATCGGGAAAGCGACGAGGATGGTCACGCTGAAGACCCGCCAGAGGCCGGCTACAAGAAACAAGCAAGAAAAACACAAACACTTAACAATGACAAACAAGGATTCAGCGCTGCGCCCATCATCTCAAGAGAACACGATGGCTGGTTTGTCCTGCATGGCTCTTGTGAAGAGCTCTCACCACTGCAGGTTGTTTTCTACTAGAAATTAAAAACACTTCCAGTTACATACTGCAGAAAGACCAGTTCACCTTTAGTAACAGCAGTGAGAGCCAATGCTGCAGATCTAGTTACAAATGCTCTGTGAACAGTATTTGGGTTTGCTTGTATACAGATAAAAGCCAGTTCAAATTCATTTGAGGAAGTGATTTTTGGAAGAAAAAAGAAATTAAAGCCTGATCATTTTCAGGTCTTCTGCCGAGACCTGCAAAGCGCCAAATTACACAGGACTCCTCCCAACTTCATTGTAGGCTTTTTCAGATGACTTGCATGTGCTGAAAAACAACCAGAGCCAAACTTGAGACCGGACCTCCAACAAGAACCGTATGCAAGTAGCCACTACTGCACATCTCCTCCCATCTAAGCAGGGCAATCTCTCTTTGCCGTCTTAGAAAAGCAGCAGTTCACAAGACATGAGCCTATCACTCGCCTCCTGTGATTTTCCCTCCTGGACTCCATTGCTGGCACTAGAGTCAGCGCCATTAACTGTGGCTTCCTGTTTCGCTTGTTTAGCATCAGTGTCCTTTACTGGGCTCTCCTCCTCTGGTTTCCTCTGTGTAGAAACATAAAACCAGTCAAAAAGGAGAGGACCGCATCTGTGCACGACTGTATCCAATACAACAACCTTTAACAAAAAAACATGTTGACATTCAGAAGAGGGGAATGGGGAGACGTCACGGTCAGTTTTAGTCAAGCATGCACACAAATCTGATAAAGCAGCTTGACCCAATGCAACCACCTACACACATGCCACAACTACAATAAGGTAACCAAAAGCCACAACACAAGCTAAAGATTAACAGAAAAGCCATAACCAAAGCAGGCAAGCACACGACCAGTTCCAACATACAGAGGATTATAAATCAAGTATGGAGTATGCCGTTAGGGATTATTAAATTGTTGCGTTTCCATAGGTGGAATGGTTATGTTGGGCCTCTGAGCCGTCACTAGTGTGAAATTGGCAGCAATTAAGAGGATAAAACACACGGCGATTAGTGGGAGTCACCTTTTTCCTGACGAGGTGGGAGATGTTGGAGACCGCTTTGGAAGGAGAGGCACCACCACACGACTTAACTGGGATCTGAAATAGAAAAGTTATGTTTGCAAGTCATGGATAACAATAAACTGGGTATAAATAGTTTTAAGATGCACTAATACAATGTGCTTACCTGGCTGGCTGAGGCAAATGCTGAAGAAGGGCTGCCATTTTCACATAGGAATGCTGAGGAGGTTGAGGCTCCGCCCTGCAAGAGGTTGGTTGGTTACCCAGGAGCAGATGATGTTTTTAAGCTTGTGTGGCTTCTATGGTGCGCTACAATAAGCTCAAGGTGGATTTGTGACACGGAAACATTTACCGCCAAGACTTACAAAAATGCTCTTTATATGTTAAACTAGTTGTAGCTCTGGATCGAGTTACATCTTGTTTGTCCGGTGTACTCACTAGTGTCTGCTGGATGGCCTGGGAGGCAGCGCTAGCTGTTCTCTGGCTTTCCTTGGCATCCTCAACCTTCTCCCTGATGTCAGGAAGAAGCTGCTTCAGCTCTTCCATCTCATTCTTCTCTTCCGCAGCCCCAATCGCCTCCTGCAACATGGCTGTACACAGACAATGACTGTCATTTATGCCAATTTAAAAATGAAACAGCACATATGACAAAAGAGGTTAAGTGCACAACAAAGCGGCAGCTATGAAAAATGCTCCAGAGAAGGAAACTGGTACCCAGGCGGGCCTCAATGACTGTTATGGAGCTGTTGTAGTGCTGGATGGCCTGGTTGTACTGATCCATGTAGCAGAGTGTAGTGGCCACATGGTAGTGGGTCTCAGCCAGCAGGCGACTGTGGGGAGGCAAGTGCTTGAGCTGCAGGGCCAGACACTGCTGGAAGTCTTCTAGCGCCTGGGGATAGTTACCTGGGGGAGGGAACATGTGACAACTATGTCATGTTTTATCTTGCCCTGAAGTGGCACTGGGAGCCACGCCAGTGATAAATGTTTCATGATAATGACCGAGACATTTTAAACACTGAATTTTTTAACTGAACGTAATCATTAGACACTTATACAAATGCTTACATTCATTTAATGAGGACAAACTTGCATCAAGTATTAGAAGGGTGATTAACAGAAAACCTTTTTGATGGGCCAACATCAGATGCCACAAGACACCATGGTAGAATAATGTAGAGTTTAAGTCAGAAGATAGTCTGAGAGAAAACACATATACATAATTAAACCTTACCGGATTCAGCACTGACTTCTCCGAGTTTCAGATATGCCTGGGCTGCCATCAGCTGGTCGTCTTTGCCTTCCTTCCTGTAGAGATAAATAAGAACAGACAATTTAGTGCACATCATCTCACATTCTCAAGCAGCGCCCTCATTAACATTATAGAAGTTCAAATTTGTCTCAAGTGCCTGAACTCACTTGTTCAGTATGAATCAGTCAAGTCACTCTGCATGAAGTGACTTTGTGCCATTAGCTTCATCTCGTCCCTACCTTTTGTAGATTACTTTAGCAACCTCCAGCATCTCCCACGCCAGCTGCAAATTCCCAACTTCATCTTCCTCCTGAAGAGACGACAGCATACATCAAAATAAAACCACTCCTAATAATGTCAGAGACTTCCATCCAAGGCCCTTACCTTCTCCTGTCCATTTCT